GAGATCATGTGATGTTTGTCTTTCTCTGCCTGGCTTATTTCACTTAGCATAATATTCTCTAGGTCCATCCATACTGTCCCAAAGGGTACGAGATCCTTCTTCTTTACAGCTGCGTAGTATTCCACGGTGTAAATGTCCCACAGCTTTTTTATCCATTCATCTACTGATGGGCACTTGGGCCCAGATCTTAGCTATTGTAAATTGTGCTGCTATGAACACAGGGGTGCATATATTCTTTCTGATTAATGTTTCAGGATTCTTAGGGTATATTCCTAGGAGTGGGATCACTGGGTCAAAAGGCAGTTCCGTTTTTAATTTTGCTTATAACAGTTTTTAAAGTAACCAATATGGAGTTGTTATGTCACTTTCTCCCTATCTTTTTCCCCTTGGTATTATTATTTTTTATAAAAGAGATTGGCTATTTATTGTTGATTGTTTATGTTTTTGATTTGTCTGAATGCTTTCTGTTTAAACTTTGCTCCTTCATCTCCAGTATTTCTAGTATTCTAGAAGTTAGGAATAGGTGCTTGATTAGATTCAGATTAAATATTTTTAGCAAAAATGCCTTGTATGTGGTACTGTGTACCTGATGTTTGTATCATATCTGGAGACATATAATATCTGATTCTTTCAATCAATTTTAATAGTTAAGCTGGTGTGAGACCAGTATAAATACATTAATTGTATCAGTATCATGCTCATAAATGTTGCTACATTTTTATGGAATCTGTAGGCCAGATAGTGTCTAATCATGTCTGATACTATTGTGTCTGCTAATAGACAAGTAAGATGGGACTGTGATATGTGTATGTTTATATATGAATGAGTGTATGCATGTGTGGCATTTATATATACCCTTTTTAGTAACTCAACTATATGTAGAAAGATGAGACTTGAAACTGAGACTTAAATATGCTCTCCTGGTGGTTCAGTCATGTTTCAGAAGGAAATGAAAGTACTTCTCTTCCCATATTGTCTAAATAAAGGCTTAGATATTAGAATTTCTTTTTAAATGAAGGGTATAAGAGAAGAAAGGTTGAGAACCACAGCTTTGATTTTTTTAAAGACTTTCTGAGAATGTTTGAAATTATTGGAGAACTTTATAAGACAATTTAAAATAACGAATGGAGCAATAATTTTCTTCATTTTGAATAAATGTTACTTTTGACAGATCAGTTTTGCTGGTGGAGATCATCACTATTTACCTCATTTATATTGATCTTGCTTTATTAAATAAACTCAGCAAGAAATCCAAAAGAAAACATATTTAATTTTTTTTGTACTTTGTAAAAATATTGCTGTAGTAGGGTGTTTTGGATGACTCCTTCCCTCTTATCAGAAATGTCTGTTGGCCCAGCTGGTCATGGCTCAGTGGTTGAGCATTGACCTAGGATCTAGGAGATTGCGGTTTGATTCCCGGTCAGGGCACGTGCCCAGGTTTTGGGCTTGATCCTCAGTTGGGGGCGTGCAGGAGGCAGCTGATCAATGATGACTCATCATTGATGTTTCAACTCCCTTTCTCCCTCTCCCTCTCTCTGAAATCAATAAAGATATTAAAAAAAAAAATGTCTGTTGGATGAGGCAAATCAGCTAAATTATCTCAAGACTTATACTCTAGAATATGGACCATGCTGCTGGGTGACAGGTAAGGGAGGAGGCGTGAGGTCAGATCTGAACTTCATGCATGTCTGCACTCAGCCTGGAAATCTGAGATCCTACAGAGAAGCACAGTATAGCCGTCTAGGCTCCAAGCTGGGCTCTCCAGGTTAAATCTCACCCTCCACTTGCTAACTGTGTGACTTTGGGCAAGTCATTTAACTTCTCTGGATCTCTGTACATTCATTTATAAAGTGGAGATAGTAACTTGTTTCTACTGCACACTGAAGTGAGATTTAAATGAGTTAATATTTGTAAAGTGCTTACAGTGATGCCTAACACATTCAGAGCCCTAGTATATTATTATCATCAATACATAGAGACTGGGATCACTTCTCCTTTTTTTTAATATGTATATTTTTTATTGATTTTAGAGGAAGGGAGAAGGAGAGAGAGAAACATCAATGATGAGAGTCACTGATCGGCTGCCTCCTGCACGCCCCCTGCTGGGGATCGAGCCCGCAACCCGGGCATGTGCCCTGACTGGGAATCAAACCTCGATCTCCTGGATCCTAGGTCGACACTCAGCTGCTGAACTATACCAGCCGGGCACTTCTCCTTTTTATGTACACTATTGACCTTTGGTTTTGAATTCTTTTTCTTTTCAAGGCAATTAAAGAACTTTCTATGAAAGGGTAATAATAATAATGAAACATTCATATATCCTTAGCATATAGTATGAATTCACAAATTGCGTCACCCAAGGAATCAGTGCACAGATCAAGAAACAGAATATTACCACATTACCCTTCTTTCTGTCCCCCTTTCCTATTTTACCCCCGCCCACAGGTAACAACTTCACCACTGACAGTATTATAACAGTATAGATTAGTTTGGGCAAGTTTGTGTTTGTATCATTTTTAAAAAATTTGTTTTTACCTGAATAAAGTATGTGCTTATGTACATGTGAGGTGGCCATACATTATAATTTTTAAAAAATCTTAATTTTGTTTTAGGTATATTGGATCCTCTAATGTTAGTGTTTCTTGGTTTCTACTTGGCCACACTTGAATATTTTCCAGAAGATCTGCTAAAGACAATTTTTCACATCAAATTTTTAGGCAGATTGGATTCTCAACTTGAACGTATGTATCTACATTTTATTAAGTTATCATTTGTACTTTATATCCAAGTTACAGCTCTACCTATACCAAAGCATTTAAATGTTAGTTTTTTTGTTTGCTTATAGAAGTATTTTAGAAAGTTTGGAAAACACAGGAAATGTAAAACAAAATTTGGATTATTTATGCATTCACTTTTGTATATTTCCTTTAGTTATTGAACTGTATTTTGAATAATTTTTCATGCCATGAAATATTTTTGATGTCATGATTTTAATGTCTAATCTTTCATTATATGGATGTAATAAAGTTTACTTATCTTAGAGGTTGTTATTAGAAATAATGATTGTTGTACATGAATCATTGACCTCATTTTTGTTTCCTGCAGATAGAGTCCTAAATGTGGAATAATAGGTCAATGTAAATTCTTTGGTAGTATTTTTAAAAATGTATTAGCATTATTAATTGTGGAAACAATATAGCAGTTGGTCCTAATCATGCCACTGAATGTAATAACTTAAAAACATGAAGCATGTGTGTGCAACTGAAATGATTTTGTGAGAATAAAAGTGTCAGCCAATAATGGGGACAAATGAATGTGAAAAAAATTATTGTCTTTGCTAGGTCTAAGCTATCAAAATCCATTAATATAGTTTTTTATTTCAGTTTTATGTGCATCTCTAAATATGAGGGTCCAGTTTCGTCTTATGGAATTAAATAGAGCAGTCTGCTTGGAATGCCCTGAGTATCAGATTCCGTGGTTTCATGATCGCTTCTGTCAACAACATTATAATAAAGGTTTGAGTTTTCTTTGGTCAGAAAGTGACGTTTAACTCTAAAGTAAATTATTAGGTAGTACATTGTTGTTATTTTTAAACCTAACCATGACACCAGACTTCGCAACAGTGCCATGACCTATTTAATGGAACCATTTTGTAGGTGAGATTTGTGTTATAAGAATTTCTTAATATTTAGGACACTAAACCTCTTTTGGTAGAGAGCAAAGAACTTGTGTTACACTGAATTTAGTGTCATTGCATATGGTATTACATTGAAGCTCTTGTTGGAAATATTAATCTTTATTTTCCAGTATGTAGAATTGGATGATTTTTATTCAAAAACTGATTAACTTATTTTAACTGAACTAATTCTTTTTATTTTCATAAAGATATTGGCAGCCTGAATGGAGCACAGCAGCAGATTTATAAAATGTTAGCAGAGATATTAGGAGGAATCAATTGTGTAAAAGCCTCAGTTCTTACACCTTATTACCACACAATAGGTAAGTCTTTAATCATCTCATCTACTGGAATTTTAAAGAGAAGGTTTTTGAATTTTTCAAGTTATCTTGAAAATTTTCGGCCCTGGCCAGGTAGCTTAGTTGGTTAGAGCATTGTCCCAATGCACCAAGGTTGAAGGCTTGATCCCCGGTCAGGGTACATACAAGAATCAACCAATGAATGCATACATAAGTGAAACAAATCGATGTTTCTCTCTTTCCCTCCCTTCCTCTAAAAAAATAAAAAATTTCCAAAGACACAGAAGTAGAAAAGAACAGTGCAGTGAATCCTTAAGTTCCCATGACCCAGCTTTGAAAACCATCAGAGTTTTGCTATTCTTCAAAAAAATTCTTTTAAGGTCAGTATTTCACCAATTCTAAGTATATAAAACTCAGATTTAGATTCATTGGGCATTTCTGGATCTTTCTGTCCTCTCCACTCAGTGTCCTGGAGTTAGGGAAATTATTTATGTCAATTTCATTATTTTAAATTCATCTCAAAAGCTAAGTTGGGTTATCAACCTGTATGAGGATTTTCATAGGTATGTGCTCAACTCTAGCCTGGTTAATCTTGTTTCTTAGTGGTGTAGTTGTAGAAGTCATTCTGCTTTAGTTCTGAATGACAAAGCTTGTAGGCTAGGTGATATTGGATGGCAATATAAGATTTTTTAAAAAATGGCTAAATTCAAGTGATAGGTGTAAATGAAAAGATGAAATTTTAAGAGGATTAACATAAATTTTCTCAAATTAGGGTTAGAAAGCATCTGCAAACATACAGGATATTTTAAAGGATTATAAACGTGATATAAACTAATAATGTAAATGGTTGCCAAAAAGCAAATAAACTGTATTAATAATAACAAGAAAGTTGGTCGTCTGTTTCCTGTCCTTAAGATACATCTTAGTATTGTATTACTGTTTCGAGTGTTGCATTTTATAAGAGACAGTGACAAGGCCTAGAAACAAAGGATCTAGGAATCCTGCCTTAGAAAGAAGTAGAGCCACCTGGCATGGCTTAGAGGTTAAGTGTCGACCTATGAAATAGGAAATTGCGGTTCTATTTCCCATCAGGGCACATACCTGGGTTTTGGGCTCGATCCCCAGTAGAGGGCTTGCAGGAGGCAGCTGATCAATGACTCTCTCATCATTGATGTTTCTATCTCCCTCTCCCTTCCTCTCTCTGAAATCAATAAAGACATATTTTTGAAAAAACACCAAAAAAACCTCTTTAATGTGATTCAGCCTAGACCAGTGCTTAAAATAGCCCCATGCTAAATATAGTTTAGTAATACTTGCTGGTTGATTTTTATTGATTGGTTTTCAGACAGAGATGCCGTTGAACCAGATCTTATAAAATAAGTTGGATAATTAGGGACATATATCATTCCTTTTTTGTATATGTATGTGTATACATATATGTATGTATATATCTTTAAAATATATCTTAAGTTTTTACCTGTATGACTTTACCTAATTCCTACTGTTGATTCCTGTACTTGCTTATAGATTTTGAGTGTATCTTGGATAAAAGAAAAAAACCTCTTTCTTATGGCAGTCATAATATAACTTTGGGAAAACTGCCAGAAACCCAAATAGTTGGATCAAGGCTGCCACCAGGAGCTGAAAGGTAACTTATTTTTTAGTTTCAGATTTTGTCATCTAAATGTTACATTTGGCATAATTTAATGAACTTATTTATCAAGGATTTATGGAGTTACAGTAGAATCTGCTTCTCATCTATCTCATGCATTCTGCCTCTGTACCTTTGCTTTTTCTCTGCTTTCTGCCTTAATGTCTGTCCTTCATTGTCTAAAGTCTAATGTCTCTCTAAAGTGCTAATCTTCTAGTTGACTTCAGCAGAAGCAAATAGTATCTTCTTTGGAGCTTCATACCTCCCTGCTTTTCTGATAACACTTAGCCACTTCTTACACTGCCATAAAACTATGTCACTTTATCTTTGTATCCCTCACAGTGCCTTCCTTACATATGATAGATGCATAATAAATATGTATTGGGCAAAGAAACAAATGGATGAAAGCATAGAGATATTTACCATAATTATTATGAATTCTGTAATTCTAACGAATAGGCTTAATTGTCATTAATTAATAGCTCAGGTAGAAAATAACTTGGTATACTCATTTATATTCATTGGGTTTTTGTTAGTTTATAAAGATACAGCCATGTTCCTGAAAGGCTTATAATTATTCAGTTTCTCATTTTGATTTTAGAAGTAAATATTTATTTTTATCTTATGTAGAATTGCTTTGGAATTTTTGGATTTAAGAGCTTTCTGTAGAAACATCCCTCATTTAAAAGGAAAATCTGCTATGAAGAAACGACATTTGGAAATTTTAGGCTATCGTGTAATTCAGGTATGAGATACTCATGTAAATCAGCCTTTAAAAAACCTAGAGACCCTTGCCTGTTCATGTGTTCTAGAATTATATCTTTTTAATATTTAAATAAAGTTATATTAAAATATCTGAAACCAAATATCCTCCATTTTTTGGAAGAATAGTAAATAAAAATCATCATTACTTGTGTCTAAAAGATTTGTTGATTTGTACATTTGTCATACCAGAGGGATAGAGTTCTAAGAGAGAAAGAATGGAGGATGAATGTAGGAAAGATACCTAGGAAAAACTGTCCATTGTTGGTATCATAGGAGCAGGAGAATGAAAGGAGCTGTGAGGCAGAAAAAGGTCTTCCAGGCCATCAGGAAGAAGGACCTACTTGGTTTCCAAAAAGGGTTCAAAGGCTATGCGTATGTAAACTAATTTCATAGGGTTTCTACAGCCATGCTCAGTAGTGCTTAGAAGTCTTCCTGATGTGTTTGTTGTTGCCTTAAAATTTCCACTCAAATACATTACTTATTTTACAGATCCCTCATTTCGAATGGAACTCTATGGCATTGTCAACAAAGGACGCTCGAATGGACTACCTGAGAGAACGTATATTTGGAGATGGCAAATCATGATAGTAGTTTTTATTTAAAATTATTTATCATGGTGTGTCACATATGAACTTATTTTAATTAAGTGGCCAGACTCAGTTAAATAATAGTATAGAATTGATTGGTTTTAAGGTCATTTGAATCAGTATTAAAATAAACAGACATTTTATAATAGAATACTCTCTTTACTATCTGGTTGGGAAATTGTTTAAAATTCTTAATATCAAAGATGTGTAGCTTTTAAAAAACTTAGTTTACAATTCATCTTTGAGTACATACTATGTGCCAGGAAGTGTTTTAGATGCTGAGAATACAGCAGTGCATATATTGTATCTTTCAGGAGTGGAGTCAAACAAAGTGAATGAATAAAATATACCTTAGATGACATTAAGTGCTATGGAGAAAAATCAGAGGAAAGGATAGGAATATTGTGGGTGGGTGTAATTTTAAATAGGGTGATCTGGGAAAGACAAGGTTATCATTTGAGTAAAGACTAAGGAGATGAGGGTGTCTGGGGGTATACAGGCAGAGGGATGTGTAAGTGCAAAGGCCCTGAGGTAGGAATATGCCTGGCATGTTTGAAAATAACAAGGAACCTATTGTGGCTAGAGCAGAACAAATGGGTTGGAAGTATAGTAAGAGGTAGATAACAGAGTCAAATATATATGATCTCATGGCTACTCTGAGTGAGATGAGAGGCCATTGCAGAGTTTCTAGCAAAGGAATAAAGGATTCACATTTTAACTGGATCATTGCAGTAATCTAGACCAGAAATGGATGGTGGCCTGGAGACTAGTGACAGTGGACGTAATGAGAAGTGGTCAGATTTTTTAAAGTATTTTGAAGGCAGAAGCAACAGAATTTGCTCAATGATTGGATATGAGGTATGAAAAAAAGAGAGGGTCTAAGAATGATTCTGTTTTTGTCCTGAGCAATTGAAAAGACGTCAGTGTCATTGACTGAGATGGGGAAGTCATGGGGAGAGGAAGGTGGGAAGGGGGGCGGTGAGGAGCATGAGTTTTAGATATGTTGGCTTTGTGATGCCTTTTAAATATCTAAGTGGAGATATCAAATAGGCACTTCAATAAATGAGTTTGGAGGTCAGGGGAGAGGTGCAGTTTCCAGATATGAATTTGGAAGTTGTCAGCAGTATTTAATGTGATGAGACTAGAAGAAATCACTAAAAAGTGATTAGAGGAAAGTGTGAATGGAGGAGAGGCCTGAGGCCTGAGCTCCGTGTGCTCCAACATGAAGAGGCCAAGAAGCAGCAAAGGAGACTGGACAGGGTTGGCCAGTGAGGCAGGAGGAAAAGTCTAGGTAGGAATACTACTAGAAGTCAAGTAGAGAAAGCATTTCAAGGAGGAGGAAGTGAGCAGTTAGATCAGATGCTGCCGGTCGGTCAGGTAAGATGAGAACTGGGAAATATCCATTAAATTTAGCAACGTGAAATCCGCTGGTGCCCTGGCCTGTGTGGCCCAGTTGGGTGTCATCCCATGAGGTTGCCGGTTGGATTCCTGGCCAGGGTACATGCCCCGGTTTCGGGCTCCATCCCTGGTAGGGGGCCTGCAGGAAGCAGCCAATTGATGTTTCACACTCACACTAATGTTTCTCTCCCTCTCTCTCTAAAAATCAATAAAAAAATGTTAAAAAAATTCACTGGTAACTGTGAGAGTAGTTTTGATGAAGTGGCAAGTTTGAATGCCTGACTGGTTCAAGAGAAAGTGGGAGACAAGATTTTCTTATAAATGGAAGCAAAGAAATGGGGAGATATCTGAGGAGGAAGTGGACCAATCTTGACTTGGTCCGATCCTACAGATGCTGAGGAAGGAATAATGATTTTCTCTCTGTCTTGCAATGCATTTATTCAATAAAATAGTTACTAAGGGCCTGCTATGTGATGCGATCCTTAGCTCTTCTTTCAACAGTGATATATTTATGCTCAGCCGAAAGCCATAGTGTAACTACCCTCAGGCCAGCTGGTGGGAGATGCCGGTAATTGGCCATCTGAAATATGTTATCTTCTGACTCTGACCCTCTAAATTCATTCTGTCTCAAAAAAGTTGGTAGAGTGCCTTGAATCTTAAGTATAGCCTTAAAATATGTGTCCTGCATGTAATTTTGCTCCACCGATATTTAGTTTAGACTTAAAGTGCTTGTTTAAAATATCCAATTATTTTGCATGATGAGCTCCAGTTCTTAATGATTTTGCAAAATGTGTATTTCACAGAACCTTTTGTGGAAAAAAGAATCAGAACAGTAAGCAAATGAAAGATATCCCTCCTTACTTAGTTTCCCTAATTCTGAATTTCCTCATGACATTCATTTGTATTAGCTGTTACGCTAAATGTTAAGTGTTTATTATCCATTTAATGAATGTGTCCTATTTCCCAAGCAAATGATTACCAGAACTAAACCCTTGAACAGGTTAAAATATTTTGCTATGTAACTTTTAGAATAAAATGATTAGACTGCTGAGGGTTATAATAAAAGGATAAAGGTTATAAATTGTATATAAATGAAAACCCAGATATTGTATATTTTGGACACATAGAAATCTTGATTAAATGACCCTGATACACCTTTCACTTATTGTTACACATAATCTGACTTCTCATGTACCACATCTCTTCTCCTTTCTCTAGCTTACCTGATTCAAATGATGTGTGTGTGTATTTGTATTTATGTATATTTTTGTTTGATGTTTTTTCTGTCTAAATAACAGATTGTTATAAACAAAAGCATTTTTTCATTAAGATATAATTCACATACCATAAAATCCACCCTTTTAAAGTGTACACTTCAGTGGTTTTTAGTACATTCACAAGATTGTGCAACCATTGTCACCACTCTCTAATTCCAAAACATATTCATTATCCCAAAGCATTATTTTTACAATTTAATCTCATGTCTACATAGTTCAGCACTCTCCCTGATCATAAAATATTCCAAATCAGCCCTAAGTCAGGTTTCTCAGAAAATAACATGTCAGGAGAGACGTCAAACACGTCTATGAAGGCACGTGAGACCCATAAGCAATGATTAGTTGATGACAGGAGAGAGTTGAATGTGATGGTTGTGGAGAGACCTACGAGTCAATTTACTATATATAGGGTTGGGCAAAAGTTGGTTTATGGTTGTGAATATGGAAAGTAATACAATAATTAATAAATAATAATACAAGAATAAACTCTGTGTTTCCCATACAACTGTAAACTGACTTTTGCCCCACACTGTATACACTAAGAACAAACAGCTTGAATGTAAGGGTCTTATATCCCAGAAAATAGAATAATACAGTTACCTTTTTTAACAGAAATTTGCAAATAGCTCTTTCGTGGAAAGTACAGGTAAACCAATGAATGCGCACCCTCCTCCATACTACCCATTGGTCCCAACTTCTGCCTCAGCAGTTTAAGGACACTGTCCCACCCTCCCTCCAGGGATACTTTCCTTAATGGCTTGAAAACTGTGATTGGCTGGTTTGAAATGGAAAAATATTTAGATCACAAACTACAAACCAGTATGTGACAAAAAGAGTGGAGAAAAAGGCCACTTGAATTTGACTACTTAGGGACTTTCCCTTCAAATGAGACCCATTTATTACACTCTTTAAGTAGCATTTCCAGTCTCCTGGCATGTAATCTTTAATATTATGCACAGGAGTCTTGTCATATTTTGAAGCATGAGGGAATGTTTTCAATGTTTTAAACATTTTTAAGAATGTAAATGTACATATTTCATTCTCTAGTTTCATTTGTAATAGAAAACGTGTGTCAGGTTACCCTAACAATGCAAGTGAAAGGATTAGCAACTCAAATTTAAGAGCCTGCTTTACAATTGATGGAGTAAGAGATCTCAAAAGAAATAATCAGTTCAAGTTAATATTTAATTTCTCATTAGAAAATGGTTTTAAGCTCTGATCATTACATTGAAGATTCGGTGACTTTGAGGTTTTGATACCCACTGCTAACCTCTTGCACAGTAACTCAGTGAATACTTTCTACATGGATCTCTGTATAGGCTTTTAAAAAACAGAATAAACTAAAGTCCTGTTATCCAAACAAACCACTCCCAACCTATTATGTTTTTTCACCTTCTTGTTTATAGCTTAGACAGTTTGAAGAGATTTAATCGTGTTGCGAGGCAACTAGCTCCTGAAGCATAACGTATTTCCTTCAGCATCCCAGCCCATTCCTTTTTATCATCTTCATACCTGGTGGAGAGAAGAAAAGTAATCAGTAAGCAGTTTTTAAGTAGATAGTTCTTTATGTGTTAAATATACAAATGTGGATCTTTGAGAAGCCCTACTGGCTCTCAGCCAGAGGAGGTTGCCCCTGACTGGTGTAGGATAATACTTGAATTCCTCCCAAAATATGCATACTTGGAATGAGCTATGCCTGAACAACTGCCACGGTATTTAACCTGGATGCTTAGGCAGGTAAGCCTTCTCTGGGAATCGGACTGTCCAGAGATGAGTAATATACAGTGGTCCCTCGGTTTTCGAATGTCATAGGTTCCGGAAGCCTGCTCGAGCTCTGAAAGGTTTGAAAACTGAGGGATCACAGCCAACAGCTGGGCCTCAGGGCCTTGCCCTCAGTGGAAGCCGTGGGGCAGGTTCGACTTCCGAGGCGAGTTCGAAAGCCGAAGCATTGCCTTCCTGGGTCACAGCGTTCGTAAACCGAAATGTTCGTCAACGGAGACATTCGAAAACCGAGGTACCACTGTAGAGGCATTAATCATTCACTTTTGGACTGATATATATGGCTGGTCTTTGTGAGTCAAGGCCAATAGACTCTACCTTAAGAGTAAGAACTGGGACGAGCAGGGACTGTCAGTTGCCTTGTTTATGATTTCAGCAGTTCTCTTACACTAGTGCTCAGCACAGAACCTGACACTAGTGGTTACTCCGTGAAAGTCTGTTTTCCCTCCCGTTTATTGTCCTGTGTGAGTACTACTCTCAGACTGCACTTGACATTAGGTAAGATCTGGTTGTCCCCTCTAAATATTCAGGATTATAAAGATACAGACAACTTGAGATCCTCCGCCTGGTGCCTGGAATGCTCTTCTCTCTTCGCATGAGAAACTCCTGCAGGCTGCCTTCTCTCAAACCTTTCCTGCCTTTGTCAAGCAGAGTTTGTTGTTCTCTCTTCATTTCTCACATTGCACTTTTTATG